CCTTCCTCCCTCCTTCCCTCCCCTCCTTCCCTAATCACTTCCCTGCCTGACTTATTGTTCTCCCTTAATGGATCAAACAATCAACTGAATACAAGTCTGCCGAATGAAAACTTGTTAACCGATCCAGATTCCCCAAGAGAGATCTGCTGACTTCCACTATACCCTTGCCTCATATGAGGTCCTATCCTATCCTATCCTATCCAACCTTATGATCTCCTTGCATCCATTTGTGACCTCACTCCCCACTCCCTCTCTCCTCTCTTCCCCTTCCCTGTCTTTTCCTCCACTCTCCTCATCCTAAGCTATCCAATCCTACCCTAATCCTATCCTAAGCTATCCAACCCTTTCCTATCCTCAGCTATCCAATCCTATCCTATCATATCCTATCCTATGTTCACCTATCGTATCCTATCATATCCTCACTTCTCTTCTCCATGCATCTCCACAACCCACTCATCTGATTTCCCTCCCCATTTTCTTCTCTCTAACTTCTTCCTCCCACCTCAACTGGCCTAATATCAACTGTGAATCCTTGTATAATTCCTCTCCTTCCCAGCGCATGGAAAACAAAATCCACCATCTCTCTTATCCCTCTTTATCTACCCACCTTCCCTGAAGCATAGCTCCTCTAAGACTCCTTCATAGTACTACTGGTAGGTGGGGAGATAGTGGTGTAGAATCTTGGTTGTCCATCGCAAGAGACAGTGGGTGTTACCCTTCTATTAGGCTTCTAACACGAAAACCATCGATCTCCTGCTTGGTTTACTCATGGGTTCTCGAAAAAGTCATCTTTACGCGATCCTGTGCTCTTTCCTGTCCCTTCCATTCACCATCATTGCCCTTCTCCATCAGGTACTACTCCCCCTGCGGACTTCTACACTGGACTGCCAACAAAAAACGAAAATTCCTGCATGCTGCGCATTTGTTCGCCGGCCTCATTACTCTGTGCCAGTAGTCAAACCACACTTAGTCATTCCTTGCTCTACGCATTTCTTGTTCATTACCCATCCACCAGTTCTTTTCACCACCCTCGTGGCGCCGCGGCTTTTTTTAGCCTTTTTCATCATTTTTTCTGCTTACACCACCGCCATTTGCACCACCGGTACGTTTCCATTGTCCGTACTGCTGATTCCAGGTCTCCTTCTTTGTTGTCAAATCTGCCACGTGTCATTCACCAGGGCACCTTTCCAGCAAAATCGTACCAGTTGTCACGCTCCTGATGACGAGGACCACATTCTGTCCAGGTGCAATGGATGCAACGGACCAGAAGAAAAGATTGGTTATGGCGCACAAGACAGAAGGAAAGTTAGACAATCTCTTCACCAAACAAAGGGCCTCGCCCCAGCATAAAACACTCCACTACATAAATTTGGATGCTTTCTGGACCTTGTGCATTCAAATGTCATTGATTCAAACGTCTGGCGTGCATTGGGTCCAGAAAGCGTCCAAATGCATGTAGAGTGTTGTGCAGTGGAGCACGGCCCAAGAGCAGCTAAAATTATTCACAAAGTTCCCGAGTGCAACTATTCATGCTCACAAGGTTGTCTCAGCAGAGCATCAGACAGTGACCTTTTCTTTTTTTTTGCTTTTCCCCTAGGCTGTTTTCCCAGGCGCCCGGGCACCCAACTTCTGCCCGGGTACACGCCCGGGTGCCCGGCCGGGCATGACCCCCGGGCAGGGTTCCGGGCAGCCCCAGCGCCAAAAAAAAAAAAAAAAAAAACTCAAAAAATTCCGGAAAAAAAAATGTTGTGTAGGATTGAAATGCAAACCACTTTTGGCTGAGGGTCACATTATGATTCCTCACAGAATC